AATTACAATATCAAAACAAAATCTTTACTTAATACTACAACTTTATACAAAATATTTACTTAATACTACAACTTTATACAAAATCTTTACTTAATACTACAATTTTATACAGAATCTTTACTTAATACTACAATTTTATACAGAATCTTTACTTAATACTAAAACTATATAAAATCTTTACTTACTACTACAACTTTATACAGAATCTTTACTTAATACTAAAACTATATAAAATCTTTACTTACTACTACAACTTTATACAAAATCTTTACTTAATACTACAACTTTTTACAAAATCTTTACTTAATACTACAACTTTATACAAAATCTTTACTTAATACTACAACTTTATACAAAATCTTTACTTAATACTACAACTTTATACAAAATCTTTACTTAATACTACAACTTTATACAAAATCTTTACTTAATACTACAACTTTATACAAAATCTTTACTTAATACTACAACTTTATACTTCAGTCAGTAGTTTCAAATGGGACAATAACCAGTATACACACCCATGTAGATAGCAGTCACAAATTAAGAAAAACTACACTTAAGTCAGTAGTTTTGAAATGAGACATATCCATTATTTTTACCCGCTTATTATTCATACAGATACCAGCTAAAAATGAATAAGTTTTAAAAAATCATCAACTTTCTCCTACAAATTTCCTTGTAAAAAGTCTTTTAGTTCATCAAAAACAAAAATAAGAGTACCAAAAGTTATTTATAGCATTTTTAATATCAGATTAACTTGAGTGCTTACTAATTCCTGAAGAGTATGCTATGCATTACTTGAGGTGATTACAAATATGATGAAGAGAAAAGGCATGGTTTTAGATTTTTCTCAGCCTTCTATATGGAGGCACGTACTTATGATTACAAAAAATATTAATTACAATTGAATTATGTGTATTGTTAACCAAGATTTAAGACCAGTTCATGCTGTTAACATATCCAGGGGATCCAAGCGTATTATGAACCACCGAGCTACCAAACAAATGTGACTAAACTGCCCAATCCACTGTTCAATAATGCACTTGGTTTTACTTTCACTCACCAGGACCGTTTTCATGGTCCCTAGGAAAGGACTGGTATGTGGGACCCCAATCTTAATCAATTTCCTCCTGCCTTCTCTAGGGCCCCGGGGAAATTCCTACAGTCTGACACTTACAATATTATCATATTGTCTGCAGAAAAATCATTTGAAGGAATTAATTACATTTATAAGTAGTTCTGTAATAAAAATTATTTCAAAATATTAGATTGACGTGTAATAAAACTTAATACAAAATATCAAATGGATGCATTATATATCCTACTTATGAGATAAAATGATGGCCCCCAGATGCCTCGCCTGTGATTTTAAGTTATACAATATAAGCACTTCATAACTGTGAAACTCATCAGTCAACATACTTTCGCTGTTTCTTCTCCAAGTCAGCATTTCGATTCATGTGATCTTCCATAAGAAGACGAAGGTCCTGCATTTCTTGACCAAGTTTTTGAGCTTTTCTTTTCCACTGATTAGCAACTCTTCTTTCTTCTTCTGCTTCTTCTAAAGCTTCTGCTAACTATAATGTTACAACTAATGATGAGATCCACAAGAAAAAACTCATGTACTTGCTGAACAAGATCTATGTAATATACTGATTGTGAGATTAGTAACGAATCTGTCAAACAGGGTATAAACAGCTATATAAAATAGATAGAAAAGTATACAGGATCTTTTTACATATGAATAACAACATAACTTCTAAGTATAAAAATGTTTTAAATAACAAAACAAACAGTAAAATCTACTGCCATCACTATTCAAGTATCAGTAAAGTTCTCTGCACATTTTATTTCAGATAGCAAGATCTACTTTCAAACATTTGTTATAGTGAGAATTATTTTGGAAATTTGAATGTGTAACTAATGTATCAGATACTATTCTTTTAATATAAGATTGATATTGGTGTGATAACAAAATACAGTGCTAGATAGAATACATACTTTTTTGTCTGCAGCTTTTTTCCCTAGCATATGTGTTTCAAGTTCTTCTTCGTGTTGTTGTTGTAAACGTCTTTTTGTAAGTTCCAATTCTCTTTTCATGTGTTCATATTTCTGTTTGTAGATGGAGCCACCTACATAAAAAATTAACAGCACTAACTAGTAAACCGTATTTAAACTGCTAATAATGAAATCTTAATTAACATTTAGAAACTTCCATCTATCTAAACTCTGTTAACAAGTCAGTTTTTTATCAACATTTTATTCGTAAGGATTAGGAAACTACTTTAGATTAAGCCATACAGTTATGCAAGTTATTTCCTGATTACACGGGTAATGTTTTTCGTGTAATATTGTGATACCTGTATTTCACTGCTGTAAACACTCTTCGATAATATAAAAAATTAACATTATGTATGAAAAGAAAAATGTTATGTAAGTCAGAACCACAAAATGTTCAGACCTTCACTTATTTTTACGAGCCTACAAAATTACCTGTGACAAGTATATACATAAATGAACGTTTTTTCTAATAACATGATTACTATTGGACACCAGTCATTATAAATAAACTACTGGGGAACAGAAAAGAGGTGTTTAAGTACCCGAAATTGCTACTGATCAATTCTTTTGTAAGTTATTTATTGACAGCAAATGATGTCCGTTAGACATTTCTTTTAAAGAGTACCCGAGCACTTACCTTTTCTCACCATTTATTTTGTACACGCGTGAAAATTGTAAAATAACTCATACAATATTTCTAAGAAAACCTTGAGGCCATGATTACTGAGTAAGTTGTTTTTATTGAAGTATATCCACAAACTACTACTATACATATAAATGATAAAGTATGTTTTTCAAAGTTATGCCTATCATCACTTTCAAAGAACATTACTATACGATACTCGTCATCTCATAAGGTAACATTCATTTCTGAAACAATTATATACATGAAGTTCCTTCATTAAATAAAAAGCTACATATGGGCTATCAGTGATGTGCCCTCCACGAGTATCAAAATTCTGTTTTTACCAGTATAGGTCTTCAGACTTATCACTGAGCCTCTGGGGGGGCACATGTTTGTGAAATCCCTAAGAATTACCTTCCTTTCAATACCTTAAGTTTTGTATTCGTTCGCTCCCTTACGGTTACGTTTGCCAAATCTTTCGTGAGTTCGAGAAGTTGTCTCTTGGATAGCTGAACATTTTATGAAATGCATAAAATTTAGCTTCCTTTTAACATCTAATCTGTAATTTCCTCATTTACGAAAAACAACAACAAAAGATCCTGTAACTCCTTTCATGTTGCCCTTACACCAAGCTTCTAAAACTGACACCATGATGTTTGTCCATCAGTCCCCTTATATGACAATGACAGTTCTTGATTTTTTCTCTCTGGATACCCAACATGTGTCATGCATTCATTGCAGTAACTACAAAGTAAGCTTCCTAGTCATGGTTTAAGTGCTTAAGCATTAATCACAAGAGGTTATTACACGGTATATATAATAGTTCAGTTGCTGATGGTTGGAACTCTGACAAAAACTTATTGACACTCCTACCAAGTACAGAGGAACGTTTTAAGTAGAATTAGTCATTCCTTTAAACATCTTCAACCGAATGAAGAATATGCTATTTCTAAATGGACGACCATGTAATTCTTCACACGGGTAAGCATCGTTACTCATTCTATTTCTGAATGGACCACCATGTAATTCTTCACACGGGTAAGCATCGTTACTCATTCTATTTCTGAATGGACGACCATGTAATTCTTCACACAGGTAAGCATCCTTACTCATTCTATTTTTGAATGGATGACCATGTAATTCTTCACACAGGTAAGCATCGTTACTCATTCTATTTCTGAATGGACACCATGTAATTCTTACACAGGTAAGCATCGTTACTCATTCTATTTCTGAATGGACGACCATGTAATTCTTTACACAGGTAAGCATCGTTACTCATTCTATTTCTGAATGGACGACCATGTAATTCTTTACACAGGTAAGCATCGTTACTCATTCTATTTCTGAATGGACGACCATGTAATTCTTTACACAGGTAAGCATCGTTACTCATTCTATTTCT